TTTCCCTATAGATGTAAATATGACCCTGCTTAGATTTAGAACATCTTCCAGAAACCACATAAAGCTGGCACAGGAGTCTGTCCTGCTTTGGGGAAAGCTGGATGAGGTTAACGCCGTCATTTCACAGGCAGGGAGGAGGGGCCCAGAGAGGCTGGGTCACTCCCCTCAAGGATGCATAGCAAGGTAGTGACGAAACCAGAACCAGAACCAGAAATGGAACCAGAACCAGCCTCTCATTCCTAACCCAGGGCACCCCATTCTCTCTCTCTTTTTTTTTTTAGCTTATTTATATTTTTATCCTCACCTGAGGATATTTTTCCATTGATTTTTAGAGAGTGGAAGAGAGAGAGAAAGACAGAGAGAAACATCAATATGAGAGAGACACATCAATTGGTTGCCTCCTGCACGAGCCCTCACCAGGGCCCGGGCCAGGGAGAAGCCTACAACTTAGGTACATGCCCTTGACCGGAATTGAACCTGGAACCTTTCAGTCCGCAGGCCAACGCTCTATCCACTGAGCCAAACAGGCTGGGGCCAGGGCACCCCATTCTTTTTTTAAAAAGTATATATTTTATTGATTTTTCACAGAGAGGAAGGGAGAGGGATAGAGAGTTAGAAACATCGATGAGAGAGAAATATCGATCAGCTGCCTCCTGCACACCCCCCACTGGGGATGTGCCTGCAACCAAGGTACATCCCTTGACTGGAATCAAACCTGGGACCCTTCGGTCCGCAGGCCAACGCTCTATCCACTGAGCCAAACCGGTTAGGGCAGGGCACCCCATTCTTGATAGTGATGATGAGGAGGAGGATATTCACAGCTAAAGTTTGTGAGTCCTGCTACAACCTTGTTCTACGCACTTTTATGGGTGTTAATTCTTTCAAATGTCAAGAACCCCATTGAAAGTACTCTTCTTCCTGCTATTGGACAAACTGAGGCACAGACCGGTTCAGAGACCTGTCCAAGGTACTGATGATGAGAGAGGAGGAATCTCGGCTCTCGCCCCCTTTGCTCCAGCCTGTGCTTCAGGTTCCACTTGAAAACAACTGGACAGAAAGAGGCCTGGACAGCAGGGGCTGGGAGCCACAGCTGCAGGGGGCTGGGGTGAGGGCTGAGCGCAGGGGCTGCTGGATCCGATCAAGTTCAGGGAGCAAGGCCAGCATGCCGTCCCCTCCCCCAGGGACCACAGCCCCATTGCCTCCTTTCTGACTTTCCCCGAGTGAGAACCCTGGGCCGGGCACCCCCTCGGTCCTGGGAAGACCTGCAAGCAGGGGCCAGAGGGCAGTCACGGACCGAGCCACTCCCCGAGCACAGTCAGCCCCAGAGAGAAGGGGAACGAAGCCTGAATCCCAGGCATTTTCAGAGACTCCATCCAGGGGTTTGCACAGGTTTCATTTCATGGGCTTTTTAGAAACAGGAAAGGTCTTAACTGGAAACTCCACTTAAGATAGTGAAAAGGGAAAGCTGCTCTGTGCTCTGGATGGAATAAGGAGGCGGGCACCTCTGGAGAATCCCCCGACACACTTAGAAAACCATTGGCCACGTCAATGGGCCAGATGACAAAACGGAGGCCCAGAGAGGGCAAGGGAGGAGCCCCAACTCCCACAGCAGGTCTTGGCCACCTCCCAGGTGCCTGTGCGTCCTTCCACGGGACACCCCTCTGGCTCCGCCCCCTCCACGATCTGCCCTGAGTTCCTCAGGTCTCTAAGCCCTGCTGCTGCT